CTTTTGTGAGGGTACGTGTAACGGAGCCATATAACTTTCATTTACCTGCAGTTTTTTCTCCCATAATAATATTATATTATAATTGTTAAAAGTTAGGTTTTATGTGTCAACATGTCACATGTCTTGACTGCACTGGTGTGTGCCAACGATTTATATTTTTCACACAAATTCATGTCATTGAGACTATTGAACTGCATAAAGTATTTAATTTCTTGACTACTCTTCAGAATTGCTTGGGCCGGAACTCAAGTGTGTTTTGTTGACATCAATCATCTAATGAGTGTATTCTGGTCTCCCTTTATTTCAGCTACTTGATTGTAGCGTTGATCCTGCAGATTATGTGGAGTTCGCGCCTTGCTTATAAGGATATCTTTGCTCTAAGGAATAAAAAGGATCTTCACACCCGGGATAATCTATTGTTCATTGTTATAGTTGACTGGGTAAGTCGTTCGCTCTGTATCTTCTATTGTCCATGAGCTACGTCTGAATTAACTGAAGGCATGCACTGAAGCAATTAAACCCAGATTTTTTAGCGGTACAGCTGTTGCGTTGTGAGACTTCTACATGCACCAGGCTGCTCTTTTTTTTAGTTCTCAAGAAAAAACAAATTCAGGATAAGTGCAAGTGTGCAACTCATGCTTCTCTATTGGCCGAGTTCTTGCTCTGCCTCCCTCTAAGAGAATAAGGTCGCCTAAATGTTGGCACAGGCGCTCCATCGAACTTTGCCAACGAATTGTCCATTTGAGCAAGAAATTATAACAACCAATATGCTTTGCATGACTTACTGGTTAACAAATGGTGTAGTTTATCGAAGATTCTTTTCCCCTGTTAGAAAGTAGAACTAATGGCTGTCATTTCTGTCAGCCAAACTTGTTACATATCACAAGCACAGTCCAAATATCTTACCCCGCAAAAAAAAAACCCAGTGAAATCATTTTTTTTACTCGAGCAGTTCTTGGAATCTTGAGCTAGCAAAGTTCTATCTGAGTGAACACATCAATTGTGAATGCATTGCAGGTCATGGCGATTTTCATGTTCTCAGCAGCCTGTGCCTCCGCGAGCCTGACAATTTTCCTCATGTGGGATGTGAACTTCTGCGGGACATACTCGCGGCTGGCCTGCCAGCAGTTTGCGCTTTCGGTCGTCCTGGCGTTCATCACGTGGTTGCTGCAAGCTGCGTCTTCTTTCTCCGTGTTCTGGCTACTGGTTTCGTTCTACTAGTGATCTCACGCGCTCAGAAACGCTGTCACGTCATGCTAATTGTCAGTCGGGACTCAGGAGGATAAATCGGTTGAAATGTGCCCGGTACACTTGCTAGATTTCAGTCATGGGCACGCATCCTTCATCACTTGTTATATAGATGGATTGTCTGTTTGATAGTAGCTCACCTTTATTCTAGGACTTGGTTATGATGATCTGGGATCCTTAATATGAAGAGTAATATATATGGAGATAACTCGGCATCGAAGGTACCTGAAAAATGCTCTGGTTATTGTGCAATGCAATTTTATATGTCTTCAACAACAAAAAAAGAGTCGAACACATTTTCTGAAGGAAGTTCAGTTTAGTCTTTGCCCTGCTCCATAGTTTCAACCTGGTTCATAAATTCAGAAGGAAGCAATATATATTCATTGACAGAAAAGTTTTGATCGTACATAGTTTGCAACAGCATCCATCAAAAGCAGCATAGCAACTTCTCGATTAATATAATTCACAGCATAAAGGTATTCAAGGCCTGCACAATCTTAAACTGATAAAGGTGTACTAGATTTTTTTGGAAGCATATTGCAAAAATTCAACAGCTCTTTTCATGCGTTCAGTTCATCACAAGTCTAAAAAGGATATGTTCGTGACGATACAAAGTACTACTACTCGGTCCAGCAAACATTGGGAGTCTCACTAGCTGCATGTGAATAGTAGTAGAGTGATCCACAGCAATCACTCCCAATTGCCTCGAACAGAAGTTTGAGCTCAAGGCGAATCATCCAAGAAATTGACAGCCCGGTAATGTGGGCAATTATGCACACCGAACCTGGGAAAGGTGGGCTGCTTCACCACACTACCTTTTTTTTAGTAAATCTTCACCACACTGCCATACTAATGCACATCTATTCACCGGCCTGTCTGATTACTCGCCATCATCACCGGTTGCCGTACATTACACCCCCTTGCGTACTGGGCTTGGCCCATTTACTCTTTCTTTCTTTTTTAACTTTCAAAAAAATGGCAAGGGAAGTGGGATTCGAAGCACAAAGCTCGTTAAGTTTGAACCGCAGTAACTAATCTGAAATTTATATTCATAGCCTTTGAACAAATATTTGGTCTCAAGATCAATTTTCATAAGAGCGAGCTGATGGTTTTTGGGAAGGCCAGAGAGAAACAAAAACTATATCAAGAGATTTTGACATGTAAAATGGGGCTGATTCCTATGAAATGTCTAGGAATGCCAGTTTCTGAAACTAAACTTAAGAATGTTCATTGGAATTGTGTCACTGAGAAAGTTGAAAAAAGATGTGGGTGCTAGCAAGGGAAATTGCTGGGATCTATTGCAGAGGGAGAATTACCCTAGTGCAGGCCCGTCTCACTAATATACCTCTGTTTATGATGTCTTTTTACCCTATTCCTAAAGGGGTAATTAAAAAAGTGGACTTCTACAGAGCTAGACTAGTGTGGCAAGAAGATGAGGATATCAAGAAATATTATTTAGTTAAGTGCGAAACTTGTTGTTTACCAAAAGAGGTGGGGGTTTGGGGATTATTAATCTGGAAATGATGAATATATCCCTATTAGCTAAGTGGTTTTGGAAAATGGAAACAGAGGAGAAGTTATGGTAGGAGATTGTCAAAAGGAAATATGGGGGTGAGAAATGTTTGTCCAGGGCCACCAAAAAAACCTGGAGATTCTCATTTTTGGTCTAGCCTGATGAAGATCAAGGAAACCTTTTAGAATTAGGGGATGGGCAAAATACCAGATTTTGGGAGGATATTTGGGTATACAATAAAAGTCTTAAGGATGCTTATCCCAGGATATATAATTTGTGCTTTGATCATAATATAACAGTGGCTGAAGCCATAAAAAAGGATGGGAAGGGTTTAAGTTTAGAAGAACTTTATATGGAGAAACTCTAGAATTATGGAATAGTCTGAAAAGTAGACGTGAAGAAATAGAAATGAAAGGTGGGGAAGACAAAATTATATGGTTACTTAATGCTGATGGGAAATTTACAGTAAAATCAATGTATAGAAAGCTGGTGGCTGATGAGCTTAGATTTCCACAGAAATTCCTGTGGAAAATAAGGTGCCGACTAAGATTGAAGTGTTTCTTTGGTTAGTTGTTAAAAAAAGCATTCTTACTAGGGATTCATTATTAAAAAGGGGATGGAAAGGGGGGAAATGTTGTGTGTTCTGTGGGATAGATGAATCAGTTGATCATCTGTTGTTTGAGTGTTTGGCCGCCTCCTTAGTATGGAGTTTAATAAAATGTTCATTTGGTCTGAGGAAAACACCATCGTCAGTTCAAGATTGTTTTGGGGCATGGTTAGACACTTTTAAGAGAGATGATAAAAAATGGTGATGGTAGGGGTTGCCATAGTGTGTTGGGCGCTGTGGAAAGCCAGGAATGGGGTCGTTTTTGAAAAGAAAAAAAATCTGACCCTATGACTATAATCAAAATGATGACACATTGGATGTGTGATTGATCTATTTTGCAGATAAAGGAGCAATGAAAAAAAGTACTGGAGCAGGGAGCAAGACTACTAGAACGGGTAGCAAGTGAAGTATATGCGGCCTCGCAAGGGTGGAGAATTAACGTGGCGTGGCTGGGATCATAAACTCTTCCTGGAGGGGCGGCTGGCTCACTTGTTCCCGTCCTTTTGTTGTCTTGGTTCTGTCTTTTGGGATATAAGGCCCTTAGCCTGGATGAATGTAATGACGTCGGTGTGTTTGAACTTAGAACTCGTTGTTGCTGCTGTAGGTTTGTGAATGTTGTCTGTGCTATGTGGCTATGCCAGCCTGAGCTGGGAATAGCTGCATTGTCGTTGTTTTCTTTTTCAGTTCTTTAGCTGGTCCTTGTAGTTCTAAATGTTGTGGTTTTCATTAATGAATATCGGAGGGGTGCGAAAGCCTTTCTTTCTTTCAAAAAAAAAACCGGTAAATGTCACCTGCTGTGCTTTATTACCACTTCGTTTCCTTATTATTGTGCGACAAAGCACAGCGCCTTCCACGGCCGGGTTTTCTTCTGTTTTCTTAGATTTTTTCTCTTTTCTTTCATTTTTCTTTTTCCCTTTTTAAATATGACTTTTTTAAATATCAATTCATCTTAAATTCATGAATTTTCAGATTCGTCAAAAAAAATTAAAAGCCGTGAACATTTTCTTAAATTCGAGAACTTTTTTCAAATCCCTGAACTTTATTTCAAATGGATGATTTTTTTAAACCATTCATAATCTTTTTCCACTTTTTATGAATTTTTTAAATATTTCTGATTTTTTTGGATGTGTGAGTGAATTTTGAAAACAGATAATTTTGTAAATATTAAACAAAATTTGGAAAAGCAAGAATCTTTTGGATCTGTGAACAATTTTTCTGAAACCAGGAAGAACTTTTGAATTCTGAACAAAATTTGACAACATGAACATTTTTTCAAATTTATGAAACTTTTTTTGAATTGTAAACATTTTTTGAATTTTTTATACCTGATTAGTAAATATAAAATCGATACTCTGAACAATTTTTTTAAAAATATGAACAAATTTGAAAAAATGGAATATTTCCAAATTCTGCACAAAATTTTGAAATTCTGAATTTGTTAAATTTATGAAAAAAAATAGAAACAGAAAACAGAGAATAAGGAAAAATGTCAAAGAAAACAAAAAATAAACATAAAAACAAAATAGGAGAGAAGATCGAAAGTAAAAATAAAGAAAAGGAAAAACGCGGTTAATGAACCTCCTAGTAGGTTCCCAAAAATGAAAAAAATGGCTGGGATGTTGAGGTTCCGAAAACCGAAACGCTTTTTGCTACTTTTTTTGGAAATTTTCAAATACTTCAATATTTTTTCCATAATCGATGAACCTTTTTAAAATCCGCGAGCGCTTGGGCCTGAATTTTTTGAAAAATGTCGTCGCCTTGTTTTTCCAAGGTCAAACATCTTTTATTTTTTTATTTTTTTTGTTAATTCATTGTTCTTATTTTTCAACTTTAGTGCTTTTCTCAACTTGTTCAAACATTTCAAATATTGTTTGGAATACCAAAATAACCGTGTTAAGTAACAGTTTTAAATTATGATTTGATTTTTTCTTTCAAATATTTATTACCTGATTTTTGGAAAAACTTAAATTATGATTGAATCCCTTTGTATTTATTAGCTATTGAAAAAAATTAAAATAGGATATTTATGTAATGGCTTAAAATATTATTTATTAAATGCCCATCTGGTTGCAAAAGTTGGCGTCATTGTAAGAATGTTTTAAAATAGACCAGGTTCAATGGAGGGTGTGCGAGTAGGCTGGGAGGCGCCATCTGAGAGCACATTGTTTTTTGAAATCCTTGAAATGGCCCTAATTTTGGATGTCCTTGTTTTACGAATTTAAAGACACATGCCATGTTATTTTGGTTTTCGACAAATTTTGTATTTTTGGAGTTTTCTTGGTTAAAAAGGCTTATAATATAGGCCGAACGTGTCGCAACATGCATATGGTGTCGGAAATCGTTTAAAACCGACATAGATTCCTACCATGTGATCATTTCAAGAATGTCCAAAAATAGACCATGTTCAATGGTGGGTGTCCGAGTAAGGGTAGAAGGCTTCGTCTGAGAGCACGTTCTTTCTCGACATTCTTAAAATGGCCCCAATTTTTGTTCATGGAACTGTATGACCCATTCAAGGCATCATTCCAAGTTGTTTTGGTTTTTGACAGATTTTTCATTTTCTGAAGTTTTCTCAGTCAAAACAGGCTAATAAATGGTTACACATGTCACCACGTGCAAACGGTGTCAGAGTTTGTTCAAACCGGGCATAGATACCTACGATGAGCATTCCCATCTTCTTGTCAAAGTTCAATTCATTTAAAAAATGTGAAAAATAGACCAGTTCAATGAAGGGTGTCCATGTAAGGTCAGGAGGCTCCGTCTTAGAGCAAGTTGTCTTTAGACATCCTCGAAATGCCTGAATGAATTCCATGGCTTGTATGACCAATGCAAGGCACCATGCCAAGTTGTCTT